CCAGTCTGTGGCTTGTATTTTCATTCTCTTAATATCTTTTGCATAGAAAAAACTCCATTTTTTATAAAGTCCAATTTATCAATATTTTCTTTTACCAATTATACTTTTAATGTTGCATTTAAAAACTCATCACCACATCCAACGTTACAGGGATAATCTGCAGAAAAACACAGATGTTACTCCTGTAGAAGTTTTATAGTTTTGTTTTACATTTACAACTATGATCTATTTTGAGTTAAGTTTTGTTTAAAGTGTGAAGCATCAGGGTTCATTTCTTTTGCATATGAACATCTAATATAGTTCCAACATCATTTGTTGAAGAGACTATTCTTTCTCTATTGAATTGTCTTTGTACCCTTGTCAAAAATCATTTCACACATTGTATGAATTGAGCTTTTTCTTCTGTTCCATTGACCTATCTATCCATTTGCAAATTCTACACTGTCTTGATTACTATAGCTTCATAATAAGTCTTGAAATTGAGTAATGTGTGTCCTTCAGCTTTGTTCTTTTGTAGAATTTATTTGAGTATTCTAGTTTCTCTGCTTTTCCGTATACATTTTAGAATCAGCTTGTTAATATCTATGAAAAAGCTTGCGAGATTTTGATTGCAGAGAGTTCAGGTCCTAACAACATTGAGTCTCTCAGTCCATAAGCATCTATTTAGGTCTTCTTTACTTTCTTTTTGTTTGTTTGTTTTGGGGTTTTTTTTTGGTTTTTTTAGACAGAGTCTTGCTCGGTTGCCCTAGGTAGAGTGCAATGGTGGCATCATAGCTCACAGCAACCTCAAACTCCTGGGCTCAAGCAATCTTCCTGCCTCAGCCTCTCAGAGTGCTAGGATTACAGGCATGAGTCACCACGCCTGGCCAATGATCCATCTTTCATTCCTGATATTGGTAATCTGTGTTTTCCATCTTTTTTCCTTGGTCAACTAGGATCTTGGTTTACCAAGTTTATTGATCTTTTCAAAGAATCAGCTTTCGTTTCAATGATTTTTCTGTATTTTTTTCTGTTTCAAGTTGTATTGAATTACACTTTAATCTTTATTATCTCTTTCCTTCTGTTCACTTTAGGTTTAGTTTCCTCTTCTTTCTATAGTTTTATGAGGTTATAAACTTAGGTTACTAATTTTACTTCTATTTTATTTCCTAATATATGCATTTAATGCTATCAATCTTCCTGTGTGTACTACTTTAGCTACCTCCCACAAATTGTTATTTTGTATTTTTATTTTCATTTAGTTCAACTGCATTTCAGATTGTTTACTATATCCTGATTCTTATAACTCTCTGTACCCTTGGACACTGTGATATGATACTCCTTTCTTCTGGATCTTCACAGCCTCCTTGATTTTTCCTTCTGAACCTTTTACTGGATTCTCCTTTTCTACTGATGCCATCATTCTTTTAGTGTTCTTCTAACTCTGCATGCTATCCATGGTTGAGCTCATCTATTCTCCTGATTTTAAATGACAATTATATTCACTATTCAAGTACCTATTATAAATCCAATACTGGCCTAGATGTCAGGGTCACAAAAAAATACAGATAATGGTTCTGTAAATATATGATAGAAAAAAGCACAAGGCACTTATTGGAATGCATAGCAGGGATACCTATCCAGAGATGATACTTAAAGTAACAACAGTGGAAAGTGATTGGATCAGAGTGGAAAGTGGTGAACTGGAGTTCTATAGGGACCTTTCTATGTCAAATATAAATTCTTTAGTTGCTGGATCATGGAAGATCCTGGAAATCCTAGAAAAGAGGCCAGGAGATCCAAGGTAGGAGGAATCACATGGGAGGCTTAAAGCCATGGCTATTTACCAGTCAATGCTTCAGTATTTTAACAATTACTACTGCTGCTCTAGTGGATGGTAGCTTAATATCAGACCTAAACTGAACCCAGTCAAGTTTACAGTTAAAAGCTTCCCTTTATCCTTCAAAAGTGGAGAAATAAATAAAAGCAAATAAATAAATAAAAGTTTCCCTAAATGAATGATATTTAAATATTTAAAATACAAATAAAAGATAACTGTGCACAGAAGAGGGAAAACAGTTCCAGACAGAATAAAGTAAAATGGCTTAGAAGTAAAAAGAAATGACATGTCTAAAGAATTTAGACTTTAGAAGGGCTAGAGACTGAAGGAAACTTGAAAGTTACAGTGAGAAAGAATATTTAACATATTATAAAAGGCTTTATAAATTAGGAGATTGAGCTTTATTCTAAGGTCACTGGAATGCCACCCATGAAAGGTTTTAGTCTGATCAGATTTGCATTTTTGAAAAACCACTATAGCTACAGTACAGACTGAAGCCATCCAAGACTGAGGAAGAGATCAGTTAGAAGGCTATTGTGATATATACTAAATCTTTATTTTCAGATAATATTTTAAATATACATACTGGGTATTTTGGGCATCTCAAAATCAACCCCCCAAAATCAAAATAGTTGTCTTCCTCCAAGATGGTAAGTTATATCTTCCTCTGTACTACTTCTGTACCTTGTTAATATTGTTCATGTCACCCTGAGTCCCAATGATTTGTTTATATATCTCCCACCAGACTCTGAGTTCTTCAAAAACAACATGGTGTTTGGCACATAATGAGTGCTCAATAAATATTTATTGAACTAATCTATAAAGTACAACATTATAGTTTTATACTGCCAGGGAGGTGTTTTAAAAACTGAAAGCTTAAATTAAATTTAGAAAATAATGGTTAAATCTAGAGCTCAAAGCCATTTGCATAGAATGATCCCAATTATATATTTTTTATTTATATGGTTATGTGTGTCACTGATGTTATTTCTGGATGGTACAATTAGAGGTGGTTTTAACTTTATACTTTGGAAATATTTGTATTTTCCAAATGTCCTATACTGAACAGGTTTACTGTAGCAGTGAGAAAAAAAATACAAAAATGTGTATTTTTGAAAGCAAGTATATATACTGGAAAATGTCTAGAAAGATAGCCACAAAATATTAACCAAAATTATATATAGATATTAGGATTACCAATGATTTTCATTCTTTTCCTTATACTTTCTGATTAGTTTTAATGTTTTATGAAAACTATATATATATATATCACTGTATAATCAGATTAATTTCTTTTAAGAATGCAGTGGTATGTAGGATACATTTAGGAAAGGTTTATATGAAAAGTATTTGATTTTAAGTGGCAGACTGGCAAGAAACATTTGTAACACATACAAAAAAGACCTAATTTTTTAAACATCTAACAAGATGTCTGGTGCACAAAAAAGACATAGCCTACTAAAAAAATGGGCAAAGTTTATGAAGAGAAAGGTTCACAGAAAAAGAAATACAAATGACTTATAGACATATAAATGGATGTTCAACCTCCCTCACAGTTAAAGAAATACATATTTAAACAATGATTAAACATCATTTCTACCTACCAAACTTTGATAAAGAAGAGTTCCAGAGGTGTAGCAAAACAAGTACTAACATATACTGTTGATGAGAATGAAAATCGGTACAGCCTCTTTGGAGGGTACCTTAAAAATAGTGTAAAACTTTTAAATGCTCATTACTTTTTGTTTCACAATTCCACTTCATAAAATTTGTCCTACAATATGTGTGAACATGTGGGCAGACATAATGTACAAGAAGGTTCAATGTGACATTAGCGTAAAAGATAAAAAGCAACCAAAATGGCCATCGATAGAGGACATGCTAAATAAATTATGATACAATCATTCAAATGAACACTAGGAAGCCATTAAAACAATGAAGTGGAACTATAAGTAGTGCTAATAAAAAAGAAGTCTAGGCTTTGCGCCATGGCTCACACCTGTAATCCTAGCACTTTAGGAGGCCAAGGCAGGAGGATTGCTTGAGGCCAGGAGTTGGAGGCCACCCTGAGCAACATAATGAGACTCTGTCTCTGCAAAATATGGAAAAGTTAGCTAAGCATCGTAGTGTGTGCCTATAGTCCCAGCTACTTGGGAGGCTGAGGCAGGAGGATCACTCAAGCTTAAGAGTTTGAGGTTGCAATGAGCTATGATGATGCCACTACACTATAACCCAGGCAACAGAGCAAGACCCTGTCCCAAAAAAAAAAAGTCTAAAGAGTCAAACCAATAATCATAGTTTGTTCCCCTTTAAGTCATTTTTTATATGTGTATTCCTAAATACATACAGAAATTTCCTGGAAATATACATAAGAAATTGCTAACAACAGTTATCTCCCAGGAAGAACATTAAAGTGGTCTTGGTTGGAAGGACCACTTACTTTTCACTATATGATTTTATACAGTATTTGAAAATTTCCTCATAAGAATATATTACTTTCAATAAACAATGTTTTTAAAAATTGTTTTAATTCATTATTATATTTACTGAGCTGAACTGCCTAGAAATTGTTACATTAAACAGTCCCCAATAGTACCAAAAATCTGAGAAATTCCTATAAATAAATTTTTTAAATATATACTAATATGAAAACCTTTTCTATATTTTTATTTTCTTGATTCTATATTAAACTTATATCAAAATAAATCACTTTTGTAAGAAAAAAATGACTAAATTTTTTCCCTAAAGCCTACTTCAAAAAAAGCCTTATGAATAATTACATGAATAATGATTTAGCCCTAGACCATTTTATTAAATTGCTCTATAACTGCTAAAAAGCATATTTTTCCTGGGGAAAGTTAATATATACTGAACATCAAGTTTAAATTTTCCCTATGACCATATGGAACATGCACCAGAATAAACTGTGACAAATCATTTCTTTTTAGTTCTATTTTCTTAGTACTTAATATTCTTATAATTCAGAAATCACTCATCCCCAAATTACAATTACAACTTAGTTTTACATTGTCTAATTGTGAATAATAAAATGTTGCTTATCTTGAAAACTATTTTCTGTCTAGCACAAAGGCCTAAATTTTCTACATATACTGTCACTCATCAGTTCCATTATGATAATGAGATAAAAAACACGTTTTTTACAAATTTCTGTCTTTTTTACCTGCTATCAGCTTCTCTGTATCAGGTAGATGTGTGAACTGTCTTTTGTATTCCTCATTCCTGTCTTTATAGGTGGAACCTGAAGTCTGCAACAATAAAAAGATTAAATCTCTGTTTAATTGTAATTGTAGTGTCTTAAAAAACAAATTTAAGATCATATGCTTTCTATACAATATTTTGTATGTTCTTATATGAAAAAATCCACATAAACATTTCTTTTTTTTTTAAATAGATTTAGAGGGCACACAAACATTTCAAAAAACACCAAAAAGAAGCAAAGGAAACTACTTTCAGCATGATGCGGTAAGGAGTTTGGAAGTCTGTCCTTTCTGCAAAAACAAATATATAGCTGGAAAAAGACTGTTTGAAACAATCATATTAAATGATTGGAAACTGACGAAAAGCATACGATAAACTGAGAAGTATTTGTTCAAGAAAATCTACTAAACTTGAGTAAGGATTTTGGAAGACCGAGGCACTGTCTCCTGGGCCTGCTCTCATTACTCTTTATCCTCTACCAGGTAAATTGGTGCAGTGGTTCTACAAGGGTGAAATAGACCATGAAAACTAACCGATATGTTGACCGAGAGTGGTGAGTTGATTTTGAATGGAAAGCGGAAATTCTATGCCCAGAAGTGAAAGGTAAAACCCCGAAGCTATCCAGGCAATTGTGAGAGTATAGGTCCAATTGGAGCAAGCAGATTCGCAGATTAGGAAGATTTAAGAGAGAGATCTTGAAGAAGAGGTAGCCACAATGGGCTTGATAAATTCTCCACGTATTCCTGGCTAAACAGAAGCTGCATAGCACACACTAGAGAGAGCCCAGACTATCTACCCATGCCTGGTTAGAGACACAGGAAGTAGTATCAAGAGAACATTAAAACTGGGACAAACTTGAAAATAGCCAGTATTTGAATATATTCCCCAATCTATACATAGACCTGTCCGTAGAAGGGAAAAGCCTTATTAGCTCTATGTATTTGAGCATTTCATGGAGCAATCACTGGCTGATATAAGGGGTAACTCCTAGGAATCCAGCCTTCAAAATAAAAATAACAACAACAACAATAAAAAAACTGAGCAGAGATGTTAGTTCCCACGTCACAGGTCAAGACAAACATTTCGCAGATTTACTTCATACAAGTTAGTAAAACAAACCAACCAACAAAAATCCTAATGACAACCATTGGCAGCAAAAGGAAAGCAATCAGAAACCAGAGATGCTACAATATATTATCTAAATTGTCCAATTTGTGACAAAAATTATAAGACATGCAAAGAAACAGGAAAATGTGAATCATACTGAGGAAAGAAAAAAGAACAGGCAACAGAAACAGTCTTTGAGGGTCCTCAGAGATTGGAGTTAGCAGACAAAGATACTAAAGCAGTTATTATAAATACGTTCAAAGAACTAAAGAAAGCTATGCTTAAAGAACTAAAGAAAATTATGACAACAATGACTCAACAAGTAGAGAATATAAACTAATAGATTTAAAATTTTTTTTAAATAAATGGACATTCTGGAGTTGAAAACTATAATCACTGAAATTAAAAAAATCCACTAGAGGGGCTCAAAAGCAAATTAAAATGGCAGAGAAAGAATCAGTGAACTTAAAGATAGATCAGTAGAAAGTATCAAATTTGAAGAAGAAAGAGGAAAAAAGACTGAAGAAAATGAGCAGACTCTCAGACAGCTGTAGTACAACATCAAGTGAACCAAAATACATGTAATGGGAATATCAGAAGGAAAAAGGGAAAGGCAGAAAAACATTTGAAGAATAGTCAAAACTTTCCAAATTTTATTAAAAACATTAACCCATTGATCACAGAAACTCAATGAATCCCAAGTAGGCTAAACACAAAGAGAGTCACACTTAGACACAAAATAGTTAAATTGTTGAAAGACAAAAGAGAAATGTTGAAATCAGCAATAAAAAAGTGACTCCTCATATACAGGTGAACAACAGGTGACTTCTCATCACAAACAAGGGAGAGAGTAGATGTGTTTTATAAGACTAATAAAGGAGGCCAGGCACGGTGTCTTGCACCTGTAATCCTAGCCCTTTGGGAGGCCAAGGCCAGAGGATCATTTGAGGTAGAAGTTAAAGGTCAGCCTAAGTAACACAGCAAGACCCTATCTCTACATAAAGTAGAAAAAAATTAGCCAGGTATGGTGGTGCATGCCTATAGTCACAGCTACTGTGTTTCCCCGAAAATAAGACAGGGTCTTTTATTTATTTTTCCTCAAGAAGACACTCTAGGGCTTATTTTCAGGGAATGTGTTATTTTTTTTAAGTACAGTACTACAATCTACATTTATTCAAATATAGTTAAGTCGTCTTCTTCTGGAACATAATAACTCTCCAAACACCGAATTCCATCCTGAATTGCTTGCGACCCTATTTCCTTTAGAACCATTGGCCCCAATCTCTCATGTCAAGCAATAGAGCTCTCATGGGGCAGATGAGAAGGGCTGCTCTTCTTCTTTACAGCTCTGCAACAAAATGCATGGGTTATGCAGATGTCCAGCATAGCCATGCCCATCACTAGACTAGGTCTTATTCTCGGGGTAGAGCTTATATTGTGCAAATGCTTAGAAATCCTGCTAGGGCTATTTTAGGGGAAAGTCTTATTTTCGGGGAAACACGGTAGTCAAGAGTCAAGGCTTGGCCGGGCGCGGTGGCTCACGCTTGTAATCCTAGCACTCTGGGAGGCCGAGGCGGGCGGATTGCTCAAGGTCAGGAGTTCAAAACCAGCCTGAGTGAGACCCCGTCTCTACTATAAAAATAGAAAGAAATCAATTGGCCAACTAATATATATATAGAAAAAATTAGCCGGGCATGGTGGCTTGTGCCTGTAGTCCCAGCAACTCGGGAGGCTGTGGCAATAGGATTGCTTGAGCCCAGGAGTTTGAGGTTGCTGTGAGCTAGGCTGACGCCACGGCACTCACTCTAGCCTAGGCAAGAAAGCAAGACTCTGTCTCAAAAAAAAAAAAAAAAAAAAAAGAGTCAAGGCTTTATGAAGAGTTCTCAATACCAAAGCACGTAAGTCCAAAGTATCATCTCCTGTCTCCTATACCCATGTGGCCACTACAGCTAAGCAAACTCCTCAAGGCTGCCTCAGCAGCAGCTCGTATGCTTACAACTCTGGTAATCAGTTCCCTCTTCTTTTTTAGCCCTTGGGTATTTCCCTTGTTATTCTGTGAGCCCAGACACACACTATAAAAAGATGTTTGAAACATTTTATCCAGAATTCTAGGTACTTTCAGCAGAAGAGCATTTACGTTAAATAGTCCCCTCCCCACAACGCCAGAAGTGTTGGTTCCTGTTGCTTTATAAGTAAATGTAAAAAAGTTAAAATATATCTAGGTTTATCAAATAGTATCTATCTATACTTAAATTTTTTCAAATTGGATAAAACGTGTTTTTTAATCCAATATAAATTGGAAAATGAGTTTGTTCTCTTTTATCAGTCACCAAAGTGAAAATCTGAAATATCCTTTACAAGCTTGAATAAATCCAATATATGTTGTTCTGGAGAACAACATGATTATAGGAAAACTCTTCTCCAAAGTTGCCAAAGTATGTTACAAACACACTAATTAATCCCCTTGGGCTTTTAAAAAAATTTTTAAAGTACAACATTAATTAATCCTCAAGGTGTACCTATAAATCAGGCTTGTGGTAAGTTTTATCCTCCACTTAGAAGTATAAAAACTTACCTGTGAACAATGTGACTATGACCATTTTATAAATCTGAATCAATGATAAAGTATAGAATCAAGACTTCTGATTTCTTATATAATTAAAGAAAACATGATTGTGATCTAGAAAAATTCACATCTAAACATTTTCCATTAAAACATAATTACACTAGTTATTATTTTAATATATGTAGAAAATGTTTGAAAACCTAGACTTTTTTTATTCTTAAAATGCTTTAAAATAAATGACAGATGTGAACTCTAACCTCTTCTAAAATTCTCCTAGTCCATCTTTTTTTTCTATTTCCCTTCCTAAATCAAAGATATGAGGTATCTGAGATTTCATATCTTCTTTATTCTGTGTATATTTGTCAAGATTTTCCAATATACAATTATTCAAAGAAAAAAACACAAAGGAACCCTGAACAAATTTAGTTATACAACTCAGAAAACTTTATAAATCCCTCCCCTTTTAAAATACAATTATCAACTAAACCAACTATTAAAGAAATAAGTATATACAAATGACAAATATTTTTAAAGGAGAAACTTAAAATTAATGAAAACAAAGTACAAAAGAATACTTCATATTAACTATCCAAAGCACCATTAGTTCTATCAGAAAATCCAATTAAGTATGTCATCTTCTAAATATACACAATAAAAACTGTTCAAAGCTATTTTCTACTCCCAACAGTTGCTAACTCTACATCATTAAAAGAAGACACACTAAATAAATGCATCTGCTGCAGATATCTCTCCTATGGGACTTTAATCCACTTAGAATATACCATTATTTTAGTCAGGAAAAAAAGTCTTTTGAAGATTTTTTAAATCTTTGCTATACATTTTCACTAACAGTTAAAGGGCAAAAGCATAAGTATTTATTTGCCATTAACTTTATTTTAAATTTCATTTCTTAATTTCATACAACCTTTAACATTTCATCGGGGTTTAAAAGTTAATAATAAAACTCATTTCTCACATACTAGGATTAAGTATTTTAATTTTTAAATTAAAAATAAAACATACAATTATGATTCTTATCTTTATATTACAAGATTCATGTAGAAAATATGAAGCTGTTGATTTCACTAACAATAGCTATGAAGAGTTCATCATAATTCTCTAAATTCTTGCTGTCAGGCCAGGTGCGGTGGCTCACGCCTATAATCCTAGCTCTATGGGAGGCTGAGGTGGGCAGATCTGAGCGAGACCCCATCTCTACTAAAAATAGAAATAAATTAATTGGCCAACTAAAAATATATAGAAAAAATTATCCAGGCATGGTGGTGCATGCCTGTAGTTCCAGCTACTCAGGAGGCTGAGGCAGGAGGATCGCCTGAGCCCAGGAATTTGAGGTTGCTGTGAGCTAGGCAGATGCCACGGCACTCTAGCCTGGGCAACAGAGTCAAACTCTGTCTCAAAAAAAAAAAAAAAAAAATTCTTACTGTCAGAAAGACACTGATACTTATTAACCAGTCTGTTAAACAGCATGAGATCACTACTAATTAAAGACACACCAGTGTTGTAATAATGTGCCCCAATGTCTAATTTTATAGGTGAGGTAACTGAGGTCAGACACGTTATACAATATACTGAAGATAGTTGCACACTGAACTCACCTGGGACAGAGTAGACATTCTATTTCAGATGTTTTGTCCCTAATCTCCAATTTGTTCAATTATATCATGCTGCCCTCTAAATTCACTCCTGTGGAACAACTGATTTAGCCAGACTAGAATATATGAGTTATTTTACATTAGTGAATCTTCTAGATCCCTATAGTTTAACTTTTTAAATACCAAAACTTTAAAAAGTTATTAATACTTTTGGTAGAAACTTTCCTAAACTGAAAAAGCAAACTCCAGATTCCTTCAATTGTTCCACTGAAATGGCTCTGACATGCTTAATTCTTTGCTTAAGTACCAAGTTGTGCACCTTATAAATACTTGCTTGTTATGCTACCTGTCTTCCTTGTGCTCACTTTGGATCCCTCAGTGAACTCCCTCATCTTACTGTTTTTATCCAATTCCTTCTTTAATATGGGGAGAATGAAGAACAGAAAATAGCAACATAGTGGAGTCCATGGTAAATGCAGATGAATTTAAAATGGCAGAGAAAAAATGAATTAGTTTCCGTACTTTTTTTTTTTTTTTTTTTTTTTTTTGAGACAGAGTCTCACTTTTTGTTGCCCAGGCTAGAGTGAGTGCCATGGCGTCAGCCTAGCTCACAGCAACCTCAAACTCCTGGGCTCAAGCGATCCTCCTGCCTCAGCCTCCCAAGTAGCTGGGACTACAGGCATGTGCCACCATGCCCGGCTAATTTTTTGTATATAGATTTTTAGTTGGTCAATTAATTTCTTTCTATTTTTAGTAGAGACGGGGTCTCGCTCAGGATGGTTTCGAACTCCCAACCTCGAGCAATCCGCCCGCCTCGGCCTCCCAGAGTGCTAGGATTACAGGCGTGAGCCACTGCGCCCGGCCAGTTTCCGTACTTTTTAAACATCTTTTCTACCAATTACAGTACTGTGTTAGAGCTGCATAGACCTTTGGCCTCCACTTTAAGAGGTCCAGGTTGCTAAACTTTTTGATCTTCTGTTATCATTTCTTGCTTCTATCCATGTTATTATCAACTAATTCCCCTCACTCCAATATTCAATTTATTTAAGCTTATAAAAAAGTGGAAAAAATATATTAAAGAAACTTCAAATGAAAATTTGGGCTGGGTGCAGTGGCTCATGCCTATAATCCTAGCACTCTGAGAGGCCACCGTGGGAGGATCACTTGAGGCCAGGAGTTCAAAACCAGCCTGAACAAGAGTAAGATCCCATCTCTACAAAAAATAGAAAAATTAACTGGGTAGTGGCACATGCCTGTAGTCCCAGCTACTCAGGAGGCTGAGGAAGAAGGATCACTTGAGCCCAGGAGTTTAAAGTTGCAGTGAGCTATGATGTCACCATTGTACTTTAGCCCAAGTGACAAAGTGAGACTCTGTCTCAAAAAATAAATAAATAAATAAATTTTTAAAAACAAATGTATACAAATGAAAATTTGAAGAATTCTCCAGATATATCAGCATAAATTCTGATTTAGCTATTCAGGGTCTTTTTGGTTTTGTTTCCTTCTGAATCCTTGATAGTTCTAGTTTCTGGGTAAGGAACCTCTGGAAAAGTCTGTAAAACTTCTGAGATGCTGTATTTGCCTTTAAGTCTATTCTATGTGAATTCACATAAAAGTTCCTTAAAGTGTTTGCAATCAGCGTAGGGACCCAAACAGAGCCAAAGTAAACCTTTGACACTCTAAACTAGTGCTTCTCAAACTTTAATGTTCATGCAAATCACTTAGAAATTTTGTGGAAATCTAATCAGTAGGTCTGAGGTTGTGCTCAAGATTCTGCATTTCTAATCATCTGGCAGGTGATGACAAGTCTGCTGGCCCACATGCTACACTTTTTGTAGCAAGGATCTAGAATACATACCTCTTTTTTCTCTCTTCTATTTCTAAATTTTCTCATTCCTTCACTTTTTCCTTTTCTTGCATTACATTTTTTCCTGTGTAAGTCTACCAAGAGTAACCACAGTAACTACCGTGTTTCCCCGAAAATAAGACCTACCCATAAAATAAGCCCTAGCAGGATTTCTAAGCATTTGCACAATATAAGCTCTACCCCGAAAGTAAGACCTAATGATGGGCATGGCTGTGCAGATACACAGCGTATCTGCACAACCCATGCATTTTGTTGCAGAGCTGTAAAGAAGAGCAGCCCTTCTCATCTGCCCCAGGAGAGCTCTATTGCTTGACATGAAAGATTAGGGCCAATGGTTCTAAAGCAAATAGGGTCGCAAGAAATTCAGGATGGAATTCGGGGTTTGGAGAGTTATGATGATGTTCCAGAAGAAGACGATTAACTATATTTGAACAAATATAGATTGTAGTACCGTACTTAAAAAAATAACACATTCCCTGAAAATAAGCCCTAGGGTGTCTTCTTGAGGAAAAATAAATATATCCGGGGAAAAACGGTACTTATCCTTGTAGATAGCACTTGGACCTATTAAAGTCCCCCAATCTATAATGTGAACTAAAAATAAAATCCTAAGCCCTCTGCTAACTGAATATACCCATCTCAGCCAAGGGGACCCCAGACACACCTTAAAACTGAGTTCCTAGCCATGATGGGATGGGAAAGATAAAGCACAATTACACATAGGCATGATTTTCCTTCATAAATATTCATGACTCTTTCTATGGCTTGTTGACCATCCCACTCAGTTTAAAATCGTGTTCCTTTTGTCTATCCCTTGAAGCACACGAGCCTAGCTTCTGGATGGGGCTCTGCAGAACCCCACCTATTGGAATAGCCACCCAATAGGCTGCTACCCTTTGCGAGAAATAAAGCTCTCCTTTTTCTAAACTATAAACCTTTTTAATTTTTTTTTTAGTTAACAATAACATAACCTATAAAAATCACAGTATAGAAAGGTCAAAACTCTATAACAGTCATAAACTTTTTCTAAATGTGACCAAAAATAATATAATCAATATAGGATGTGTTGTTATTTTGGTCTATTTCTCAGTAATTCAATATTTTCCTTAGGATATGGTTCAAAAAACTTATAATGTAAAGTTTCTTATTAGGAAGTCAGAACTTTTCAGTCATGTCAAGATTAAATAACATTCCAATGAACTGAACTGCTAATTATGAAAAAAATGATGGTACTTGTACTAATCTTCATAAGCTGCAAATTTATGTCTTTTTTTAGTCTACTCTAAAATTGCAAGAAAACCTGCTACCAAGGATACCTTGTCCTCAAGAGATCAGCTTTCTAATGAACTAATTGGAAGTCTATATGCCTTAATATCTTATATAAATTTTACTTATAGTTGTATTATACCAGATTTTATCAAATGGCTGGTAACTCTCATTGGAATTGCTAGATTTAGAGTGAGCCCTTTAATATAACAAATGTTAGCATTCATATGGTAATAGATATAATATCCTCAAAGAAGACTTTCAGATCTTAATGTGCCTAATCAACAAGCACTAGTCTTGTTTTACAGTGGGGAAACCTGACACACATCCAGGTTATGCAACCAAGTGAGCACAATGCAAGTAGAATATGAAACTCCTAATTTTAAAACTCATCTTATAGTCATTATACACTACAGGTCAAACATTGTTAAACTTACTTTTAGGTACAGGAACTTTTTAAATCAAAATTATATAAATTGTGGCTTCTCAGCAACATTTAAAAATATGGTTTCTGTGTTATGTTAGTCTCTTGACAATACAGTGAGCAACAGTATAAGTGGAGTCCAATTCTCTAATGTGATCTTCTCACAAGAAAATTGAAGCAGATAATTCCACTCCATCAAACCAGACAACAGTGCATTCTAGTGGCCAAAGGAGAGCATAATCAGAAATGTCTTTGGGATTCTGGAAAAAAACCTAAACATCTAAAATCTAGATGCTAAGAAGAAAATATTATAAATATTATATGAATTGTTGTAGACTTAAAGAAAATTTTCATGCAAGATTAAAATGAATATATATAAAAAAAAGATTACCCAAAAGCTCCAGTCACCACTCCAATTGTGTAAATTTGGTCCCTGTTTTTTAGCTGACACTATATTATTTTCATCCACAGTTGGACTAGGATTTTCCTCTACTTCTTCCTGTAACTCAGTGGCAAGGCTTGACTCCCCTTCATTTATCACCTAGAAACAAACATCACACCATTTAAATCACCTGTTGAGAAATGGCCATTTTAAAAAGAAAAGAATTAATGTTCAAAACATAAATTTATTTTAAAAAGACAGTCTTTAAATACCGAGAAGACAGTAATGCATATATTTTTGCTTCTACAGTTCATTCATTTATATGTGCAACAAAGATTTTCCAACTACTATTATCTGTTAGGTAGTTTAGTTGGCATTAGGGATGCAAAGATGAATAAAACAAAGTCCTTAGTCTCCAGATGTTCACAGTCTGCTAGAGGAATAAGTAAATAGTAAAGATACAAGGTAATGGGAGTGTCAGTTGGTAAATCACTTTGGAAAACAATTTGCAATGCCCAGTAGGGCCAAAGATAGACATAAACTACAACACAGCAATTTAACATACACATGGAGTCAAGGATGTTTGCAATACTAGGAAAGTGAAGATAATCTCATTAACCATCAATAGAGAAAATAGTATGAAAGCTCTGGTTTATACAAACAGTGGAGTTTAAATGAATAAATCAGATGTCTCAAGCAGGCACAGGCCTCCAATCTGTAGAGCACTCAGGGCAATGATTATACTCTGCAAGATATGCCCAGTCAGGTGGTTTGCTCATGACAGAGCAGTCATTAGGAAGTTAATAAAAGAAGACAGAAAGGAGGAGTTGGGGAGGAGAAGCCATGATAAAAGCACATGGCTCACCAGGATGCTTAAATGCCTCTGCTGCTGCTGCTGCTGCCACCACCATCACCTATATCTCTATTGTAACAAAGACCCTGATCCTCAGGGTTATAGGGAAGAGCACCCATGGCACCCCCACGGTGCGGCAAAATGTAAGTCAAACCCAACTTACACTCGGGTTTCTTAAATCCTACAAACTAACCACTGCCATTGGGGAAGCCCTTAACCCTGATGATACTGATTTGAGGCTCACTGTAAGAAATTTGTAAATATAAAAAGAGAACCCCCTTACCTGAGGTATATCCAATATTCTCCAAAGAGAGAGAAAGAAAAAAACAAACCTAGATAGAGGGTGGAGGAAACAGACAAATAAACAACCAAACAAAAAAACTGAAACAGAATTCCATAATTTGACCTAGTTGGACATACAAAATTTATTAAAATAATTTATACAACAAACAAAAGATAAAAGATTGGCTTTTGTGCCTCTACAACTTGGGTTCTGAATTAACTTCAACATCTGCTAAAATGCATCCACTGGCAAATCTTCATGGCTTTAATCAATACCAGGGCTCAAGGAACAGTTATATCTGAAGATCCCAGTAAATTTAAACAAGGTTTCCCCTATAATTTTAAAACAGGTACTCAACATAAAATGGACAACAAATAGGCATGCCTCACTTTAACCATCAGAATGATTGCCTTGCCTAAATTCTCCATGGTCAGGGTATACATTGCCCTAAAATATCCCATAGTGGCCATGGTCACTCTGACCCAACGAGTAATAAATTAAATTTAAATCAAGTCTTTGGAGCTTACAAATTGGATTTTTAAAAAGTAGGATACCATGGACCACTGCCCTCAACCCCTAGTGAAAATAATACACCCCAATGTGAAATAAAACAGGGCCTCAAGTATCGAAACTCATTATAAGACCTACTTAGTGAAAGAGTGATTACCCCTACTACTTCTCCTCCATTTAACAGCTCTGTTTGGCATGTTAAACTTGGAAAGAGTGAGTGGTGCCTCATGGTTGATTATTGCATCCTTGATGCTGCCACCTGACCCGGGAAGGCCCCTGTACCCAGTACTATTGAACTTACTGCCTTCACCTCCAGAGAAACACAGTATACCTTTATCCACAGAGTACCTCAACAGCCTTGCTGTCATATGCAGCCTTTACAGGCAAGATCTTAACTGCATCCACTTTTCCCCAGGAGTACAGGGGTAACATTACATTGATGACATTCTCCTCTGAGAGCAGTCTTTTGACTCACTCACAAAAGAGCTCGCAAAAAGAGCTTGGGCCATTGACCCCACACATTGTATAAGGCCTCCCAGTTTGGTTATATTTCTGAAAATTATTTGGTAAAACAAGGGCCACTCCATCCCTGACACTGTCAAGAAACAGCTACTGACCCTCTTAGCACCCACAACATTAAGTCCAATATCTTTTAAATCTTTTTGGGTTCTGGAGGAAATATAATCCTCATTTACAAATTTTACGTAAGCCCATTTATGCAGTTACTTTCAAATCAGTCCACCATGAATGCAGCCTCCTCTAAGAAAAGGTTCTAGATTTGTCCTAATTGTAAAACAGACACTCCCATTGGTACTATCCCCCCATGCCACCCCTAAAAAACACAGACACACACACAGAATCCTTCACTGTAAAGGCTTTAGCAACTCCTTCTCATGACTCATGGTCTCTGGACCACCCATAATGTCCATAAATTGTCCACAGGCTTCTGGCGCAAGAAACTATCTCCTTAGCCCCACACACTATATGCCATTATAGCAAATGCTGGCAGGCTGGGCTCTTCTGGAAATAGAGGCTCTCACAAGCCTTGAGCCCATGACCCCCCCATAACCACTTGCCCATCATGCCTTGGGTCATGGAAACAGTATCCTGCAAGCTCAGCACAGCCAAGAACTCCTTACTAGAAGATAGGGTCAAATCTGGGCCTTCCAACATCTCCCACCTGCAGGGCGGCATGGCCTCCTCTGTCCTCATTGCCTAGGCAGATGCCATGGTACCAGAAGAGGTCACTGCTCTCCTGGATCCTCCTCTGCCTCGGGAGTAACTTGGGTCAACTGAGTGAACAGCAATGGGAGTTTGGATACTTTACGGAAAGCATCACCACCATTACGTGTGATGGAGCTCACTGTAAACCTGCTGCTTTTCATCCCTTAACCAGGATGTCCTTGAAGCACAGGACCCAAAGGTAAGCACAACTGGCTGAACTTCAGGAAGTCATCTTAACACTGCATTCTCTGGTCAACACTTGGCTCCATTTGCACATTTTTACAGACTCTTGGGCCACTGCTTGAAAGTTGGCCCCTTTAGGGTAAAGAACTCTGGGACTTTCTTGGTTCACAGATACCCAAAATATAAATCAAGGTCACATATGTCTCTACACATAATAAAGCCGCAATACAAGTCCTAACCATGACACTTCCTCTCCCCTTCAGAGTTCCTAACATTACTGATAGCGACCAAAGCACTCATTTTATCTCTGAGCCTGAGTGCTCTTTGCATTGTCGTGGGTGGGAGATTCAAACCAAGCAAGCCCTTTTCCACACACAGCAACCCTCACCCCATCCCACTCCCTAACCCCAATAAAAGTCAGCAGCCTGTCTCCTTTCCTTGCTCTGTTAAGCCATTTCTGTGCTGCTTTAGAGGACTGCCCTGCTCTTCCCAGAATTCTCAAGTAAGTATGAGGCTTTTTCATATCCTCATGGTGTATATATGGCATCATTGGTTTCTACATCTGAATCAAATTCGGGGTGGGGGTCCTTTCTGGCTTTCCAGGGTGGCTACAACAGAGTCCTATCTCTCTTATCAACTCAGTGGTGCTCAGCAAAGTCACTCAATCTCTCTAAATCCTTGACTCTACAGTAGGGGAAATAATTCTCTCTAGTCTAGACAATAAGCTTACTGAGAGCAGGGATCATGTTTGTGTTACCATCTTTTCTAGAACACTCAATGCCAGGGACACAGTTGAATGAATGATTGAGTTCATGAACATCTACCTTGCCTATTTCATAGTAATGTTTTAAGAATCAATTGAAATGATATTTGCTTGTTCACTCAACAACTAATTGTGCCTCTACTGATCGGTAAACTATAAAATGCTCTCCAAAAGGGATAACACTGAATGCAATTCTCTAAAAATAAAATATATACATACGCACAACCAATGTAAAAGTAATGAGGATAGTGTTCAGAAATGCAAGTACCCCTGCGACAAAAGTAGGCTTCCCTCTGAAGTTTAATAAGAAAGTTTTTCCGTTTTGTCAAATAAGGTAGTAAACAAACAACAAAAGTAGCTGAAACCAAAAAACTTGGTTGGTGGCACAGTGCTTCAAATCATCTGGGCCCTTTCTTTCGTCAAGGGCCGATCCTGAAGGAAGCGGGTGAGACTGGAAAAACGTGACACCGCGTCAGCATCGCGACAGCGGAGCCCGACTCCTTGGGGCCCGAGGCCGAGACGTCCGCTCGGGGACTTTCGGACGGGACCGGGGCGCCGCCCGCCCGCCGGGAGCAGACGTCCCCGCCGCCGCCCCGACGTCCGGGGAGGCTCGCAGGAAGCGCAGGAAACCGTTTCCTCGGTAACAGCTTTCCCAATGACTCCGAAGAGCGCCGAGAAAAGGAAAAGAAGGAATGGACTGTCGTAATCTGAGAAAGTTCAAGCAACCATCGTGAGGAAAACTGCCGTGTAGAGCCACCGCTTGGGAACGTGCCCGCCGAGGCCCGCTTACCTGGCGGCCCGACGGAGCGCCCTCCATCGCGGCTCCCTCCGCCGCCGCGCTACGGCGCACGCGCGCCCCCGAGCCCCCGCGCCCCCCACCGCGGGCAGGGGGCGGCCCGGCGCGCGCGCTCCCGGCTGCCGGCCCCGCCGCCTGGTCCTCCGGCCCTTCGAGTACCACCTAGGGTCCCGCCGCGCGCCTTGCGCCCTCTGGCGGCAGCTGAGGATCCCTGCCTCTGGCGAACTCGGAAGGATGGCTGTTAATTTCTTAGCCCGGAGGAGGCTACTCTTTGCTAGAGGTCCGAAAGAGCCTCACCTACTTCCCAACCTCAAAATCCCGTGCCTGCCGTGAAATGGCACACCTGCCTCAGTGGGCGAAAAAGTGAATTGCGTGGGAAAGTCTTATTCCTTCAAATAAGGGATTGAAGTTGATAAAAGACCGCTGAGTATTGCGGATGCTTCTTTGATTCTCAAAAAAAAAAAAAAAACTGTAAAAAAGACATTCTAGAACAGCTGGGAAGGATTCAATGTAAAGTGTTTATTACAGTGTGTGTTATGGAATAATTAATGATTTATGGATAAATTTATGGATATTCATTTACGAATAATTAATTTGTGGTTGTATTGGAAAGTGTCTTTGTTAGTAGAAAACTCATACTGAAGTATTTGGGGTATAGCAAAGATCAAGTATCATAATGTCTGCAACTTGTTTTCAAATGTCTCAACAACGATAAATAAATACAGAGAGAGAGCAACATATTGGCAATTATTGCATCAAAATGGAGAATATAACACTATTCAGTGATTCTTCTACTGTTTCTGTATGTTTGAAAATCTTCACATAAAGTTGAGGAGAGGGGAAAGAATCCAGTTCCACAAAAAGTGAGATATTGGGTATATTCTTAAAATTTATATTGCATATTAAAGAACAAATTACCTAATAAGATAATCAATAAAAGACAAGTTTTTACCCTCATCCTGTGAAACTTTGCATAGACTGTGTTCCCCATTAAAAAATTCACAGAACACCAGTATTATAAATGGCCATTCTGTGATCATGTTAAAGCAAAACAAAACTAAGGCCATTGTGTAATCATGTCTAAACGCAGACAAAAACGTGGTGATGATTGCAACTACAAAAATGACTAAATATCTCCTGATGTTGGTTGGCTAAGATGACTGCTGCTTCTTTCCCAATCACAGCTTTAGTGTCATTTTATTCCTCTTACCTTCTAGATGAGATTTATTAATATTCCCAAATATTGCCAAGCTGTGGCAATTCTATGATTTGTTCATAGATGGCACTCTAGCCTGGGCAACACAGTGAGACTCTGTCAAAAAAAAAAAACAAACCACACTAACATACTATTTTTCCCCTATTTGGTTGACAAAAGTACAGAAGTTTAATAATGCATTCTGTTGACAAGACTGTGAGGATACAGGAATTCTCATGATGGGAGTATAAAATGATACAGAAAATTTGGCAATAGCTATAAATTTTTTTTTTTTTTTGAGACAGAGTCTCACTGTGTTGCCCAGGCTAGAGTGAGTGCCGTGGCGTCAGACTAGCTCACAGCAACCTCAAACTCCTGGGCTCAAGCAATTCTTCTGCCTCAGCCTCCTGCGTAGCTGGGACTACAGGCATGCACCACCATGCCCGGCTAATTTTTTCTCTATATATTAGTTGGCCAATTAATTTCTTTCTATTTATAGTAGAGACAGGATCTCGCTCTTGCTCAGGCTGGTTTCGAACTCCTGACCTCGAGCAGTCCGCCTGCCTCGGCCTCCCAGAGAGCTAGGATTACAGGCGTGAGCCACCGCGCCCAGCCTATAAAAATTTAAAATGCATATATTCTTGCAGCAATACCAACTTCTGGGATTTTTCCTATAGATTTAATTGCACACATGCAAAATAATGTGCAAAGTTATTCATTGAAGAATAGTTTGTATTAGTAAAAGTTGGAAACAAATCATCATCAATGGGGGACTGGTTAAGTAAATTATGTACCTCCATCCATCATAATTTGGAATTCTATGCAGTTTAATAAAGAATAAGAAGGAATTACATCAACAAAAATGGCAGAGAAAAGAACTCCAAAAGTCTGTATTTCCACAAAAGCAACACATAAGCTGTCAAGAACTGTCAGAACCAATTTATTTGGAACTTTAGAAGCCAACCAAAACCCTACAACAATAAGGAACAGTTAAGAAAAAACAGTTGTGTCTCAGTAAGAGAGCTTTGTGACATTTTATTCTAACTTACCCTGGTACCATCCCCCACCCCACAATAGCCCACATTCCTAATACTGGTTCCCAGTATCTGAAGGAGCAGTAGGGACTTATTCTCAAAGAATCCGTGGCTGTTTGCTTTGACCTGTTAGGTGACTGAAGGCTCAAGGACGTACTTGCCTTTATTTCACCTAACTCAGAACTTTTCAGGGCTGGGACGACTACCTTGAGGTAAGGGAGAGACATTTTGTTGAAAACATCTGAAGGCAAATGGATTAGCCACTGCCACTTGGAACAAGGGATAAGAGTTAAGGCAAATAACAGACAGTCCGAAAAGCTTAGAAGAAAAACCTAGAGAATATGATTCTTTGGAAAATAAGGGCTTTGAAAACCTCCCACAAATTCCTGGGAATCCAGAAGGCCACATTCATGCCCAGGCCTTGGAGCATGTTGAGAAAAGACATAAGAATGCCCAAAACTCTCACCTCTGGCTGATTTTCTGCACAGTTCATGCAGGAAGGAAGTCTAAGGCAGAGTTGTTACAAACTGCCTGGCTGAGTTTTAAAGGCATGCCCAACACACAGAGACCATCTGCAAAGACTGGAAGATCACTCTTTATTTTTATTTTTTATTTCCCTTTTTTTTTTTTTTGAGACAGAGTCTCACTCTGTTCCCTGGGCTAGAGTGCTGTGACGTCAGCCTAGCTCACAGCAACCTCAAACTCCTGGGCTCAAGCAATCCTCCTGCCTCAGCCTCCCGAGTAGCTGGGACTACAGGTGCATACCACCATGCCTGGCTAATTTTTCTATTTTTTGTAGAGACATGGTCTCACTCTTGCTCAGGCTGGTCTCAAACTCCTGAGCTCAAGCAATCCTCCTGCCTCGGCCTCCCAAAGTGCTAGGATTACAGGCGCGAGACACTGCGGCCCAGCCTTCCTTCTTTTTTTCTAACCTAATAGTACAGAAACTTCTGTGGCCACACATGACAAAGAATACAAACTTTGCAAAATTAGTTCAACTTGTATTAGGTATCTAGAGTAGTCAAATTCATAGAGAATGAAAATAGAATGTTGATTTCAAGGGGCAACAGGAAGGACAGAATGGGGTGTGATTGTTTAGCGGGTTCAGAATTTCAGTTCTGGAGATGTGACTGTTGGACAGCAATATAAATATACTAAATGCAACTGAACTGTACATTTAAAATGGGTAAAATGGTAAATTTTTGTGTATATTTCACCGTAATTAAAAAAATAGTTCATAAAAAAATCACTAACCAAACAACCAGTAAGTACTAGAACAAGTACCAATGACAAACCCTAGGGATGGGGACAATCTGATTTCCAGAGTTGCCACATTATGGCATTCAAAATGTCCAGTTTTCAACAAAAAATCACAAGGTATGTAAATAAACAAGAAAGTTTGGTCCATATATAGGGAAAAAATAATAGAAACAGTCTTTAATGAAGCCTGGACATTGGACAGACAAAACTTTAAATTGTCTACTTTATATATGCTCAAAGAGCTAAAAGGATTCATGTACAAAATAGAAACCATGAGAATAATGTCTCACCAAATAGGGAATATCAATAAAAAGACAGAAATTATTTTTAAAAATACAGAAATTCTGGAGTTAAAAGTACAATAATTGAAATGAATAATTCACTAGAGGAATTCAAATAGATTTGAGCAGGCAAAAGAAAGAATCATTAAACTTGAAGATGAGCCAATGAGATTATACAGTCTAAAGAGCAGAAAGAAAAAAATAGTGAAAAATGAACAGAACCTAAGAAATCTGTGGGACAGTATTCCACATAATGCGAGCTCTAGAAGGAGAGGAGAGACAGGAACAGAAAGAATATTTGAATAAATAATGGCCAAAAGAAGAATGAGGAAACTCTTTATGTACTAATATAAAAAGATCTATAAGAAATATTGTCAAATAATAAAAGCAGGTGCAAAACTACATATCGTGCCAAAAATGCATACTCTGAATCCAATCATCAAATTGAGGAAACATCAAATTCAAACTGAGAGACATTATAGAAAATAATTGAATCGAACTCTTCAATAGTGTCAAGTTTATTAAAGACAAAGAAAGACTGCAGTATTGCTTCATATTAAAGAAGACAAGACATTATGGACAAGCAATGTGTGATCTTGGATTGGATCCTGAATCAGAAAAAAAATTTTTTTTTTGGCTCAAAAAGAGATCATTGAGACAACTGGAAAACTTTGGATAAAGTATAGCTTGATTATTGTATTTATTCAATGTTAATTTCCTGGTTTTGATAATCATATTATGGTTAGGTCTAAGAATGTTCTTGTTTTAGAAAATATAGTCATATACCACATAATGACATTCTGGTCAATGATGAATGACATATATGAATGTGGCCCCATGAAATCATAATACTATATTTTTACTGTACCTTTTCTATGTTTAGATACACAAATACTTCTCATTATGTTATAATTCTCCACAGTATTCATTCAGCACAGTAACATGCTACACAGATTTATAGCATAGGAGCCATAGGTGATACCATATAGCCTAGGTGTGTAGTGGGTTATACTGTCTAAGTTCCTGTAAGTATACTCTATGATGTTGGCACAAGAATGAAATTGCCGGCCGGGCGCTGTGGCACACGCCTTTAATCCTAGCACTCTGGGAGGCCGAAGCAGGAGGATCATTTGAGCTCAGGAATTCAAGACGAGCCTGAGTAAGAGCGAGACCCCATCTCTACTAAAAATAGAAAAAAATTAGCTGACCAACTAAAAATATACAGAAAAAATTAGCTGGGCATGGTGGCGCATGTCTGTAGTCCCAGCTACTCAGGAGGCCGAGGCAGTAGGATCGTTTGAGCCCAGGAGTTTGAGGCTGCTGTTAGCTAGGCTGACACCACAGCACTCTAGCCTGGGAAACAGAGCGAGATTCTGTTTCAAAAACAAAATAACAAAATTGTCTGATTACACATTAAGTGACACATGACTGTATACATTGATGTATTTAGGAGTAACTCACTCTCAAATGTTACAGAAAAAAATTATGTTTTTGCTGTTGCACAAGTGCAAGCACAGAATGGACAGAGTTTTATTTATTTATGGTTGATTGTTACCAGGTGAGTAAGCTACAGCAAAGAGAAGCAAGGGAGATGAATATGTATTCAGGTATGCAGCAATAATCATTGTACCTGAAATCCAAGCCAGGTAAGAAGCAAAATAAGGTTATAAGAGTATGAAGAACAATGAAAAGTGTTAGGATTAAAAGTTTGTAAATCTAGTTGGGGTTGAAGTATTGCAGGTAATAAACAGAGGTGATGAGTTAGAAAGACAGAAATAGTGCTTCAAAGTGAGATTATGGACAAGTTGCAGTTATGATGATAAGTTCTCTGATGTGAGCCTGAGAGTGAGTGGCTGACTAGAGTGGTGGTTAAGATTGTTGGGGGAGAGGTCAGGGAACTAAGAAGCCAGCGACTGAAAGTATAATCTTGGTGGCTATTGAAATCACCAAGTATAAAAAGAGTAGTGTGTGTGAGGGTAAGATGGCCTAAGGGGGGATAAAAAGGGTAGTGTAAAAGAAAGTGGGCCAGGCGTGGTGGCTCACGCCTGTAATCCTAGCACTCTGGGAGGCCAAGGCAGGCGGATTGCTCGACGTCAGGAGTTCGAAACCAGCCTGAGCAAGAGCGAGACCCCCATCTCTACTATAAATAGAAAGAAATTAATTGGCCAACTAATATATATATATATATATATATATATATATATATATAATTAGCCGGGCATGGTGGCACATGCCTGTGGTCCCAGCTACTTGGGAAGCTGAGGCAGAAGGATTGCTTGAGCCCAGGAGTTTGAGGTTGCTGTGAACGAGGCTGATGCCACGGCACTCACTCTAGCATGGGTAACAAAGCGAGACTCTGTCTCAAAAAATAAAAAATAAAAAAAGCAGAAAGTGACCTTGAGCAAGGAGTAAAAATCTTTAATATTAAAAAAGAAGAACATGAATTATGAGTTGACAGATGACTGTAATAAAGAAAGGAAGTTGGTGGCATAATTTTCTGACATGAAATTCAAAGCTAGGGTGTTAGGGAAGAGTAAGGAAGAGTCTGGAAGTAACCGTGAGAAGAAAGGAAGGCAATCACTTTTTCTCTGGACCCATTGGTGCTCCAGTTACTGTACCTGCATGACAAATCACCCAGAACAACAATAATCATTCGTTATTTTTCACAGATTCTGTGGGCCAGGAATTTGGAGCAGCCTGAATGGGCAGTCCTCGTTCGCAGTCTCTCATGAGGTGGCCCTCAGTAGTCATGTAGGGCTCCAGTCACCACAAGGCCTGACTGAGGCTGGAGGGTCCACTTTCAAGGTGTCTTACTTACGGGGCTGGCAACCTGGTGCTGCTGGCTGTTGGTCTGGGGGCTCAGTTCCTCTCCACATGGACTTCCCCACAGGGCTGCTTGAGTCCTTATGGCGTGGCAGTGGCTTTCCTCAGAACATGTGATTCAGGACACCAAGGTGAAAGCTACAATGCCTTTTATGACCTAACCTCGGCAGTCACACACTGTCGCTCACACTGCCTTCTACTGGGGTCAGACAGCTCTGATCCACGGAGGGAGGTGACTGCACAGGGAATGAATACCAGAAACCCAGGACCAAAGGGGGCTTCTGAGAGTAAAGCTAGCCCAAGTGATGTGACGGCGTGGGAGAGAATACAGCCCCCACTTGAGAGGGCTGCAGGGAAAGCAGTGTCCTCAGGGGAAAGCCAGGTTTCAGTTATACAGCAAAGTGAAGAGAGACTTTAGAGAATTTTCAGAAAAAAACACAGAGAACTTGGGCTGTGGGGCCTTTTGTTATCTGATCTTGAACTCCACAGCACACCAAGGAAGGAGTCTGGGAGTTGGGGACAGGTGGTGACGCCAGTCGTGTTGAGGAAATAAACCAGCAGGACCACGTGCTGTCCCCAGGGCTGCCCCTTTATTTCGTCCCAAGGAGCCCAGAGGCCAGGTAGGGACAATGTGTCACTTTTTGCCCCTTCACTAAGTAGAATTTTCCTGAAGTATAGCTCTCTAACTTGCATTTAATTATTAGAAAAAGTTTTAAGGACTTTATAAACTTCACTCTTTCAAACTTTTTTTAATGTTCAGTATGACTGGTTTTAGTACAGATCCTTAGAAAATGTCACTATTAGTTTTTATCACTTCTTTTCAGTCCTGCTAACCCATAAATAGTGAATTAATATATCTGCACATGTGCATTCAATTTTGTCCCTTCCTGAAATCTATTCAAACTACAAGAAGAGGAGTGTGGATAGACAGGGAGAGCAAAGAGGAGGCAAGAGGTTTTGAACTTTTACAAAAAAGAAACTTTTATGAGTTGGAAAGCAGTAGAACAAGAGGCAACTGATTTATAAAACTGATAACAACAAGACCCAAACTGACCTTGGGGAAAACTGAGGACCAACCTGATTTATGCCACAGAGACCTCAAAAAGCGTGGGAATTGGCCCGGCACGGTAGCTCACGCCTGTAATCCTAGCTCTCTGGGAGGCCAAGGCAGGCGAGCAAGAGCGAGATCCTGTCTCTACTATAAATAGAAAAGAAATTAATTGGCCAACTAATATATATAAAAAAAATTAGCCGGGCATGGTGGTGCATGCCTGTAGTCCCAGCTACTCGGGAGGCTGAGGCAGGAGGATCGCTTGAGTCCAGGAGTTTGAGGTTGCTGTGAGCTAGTCTGACGCCACGGCACTCACTCTAGCCTAGGCAACAAAGCGAGACTCTGTCTCAAAAAAAAAAAAAAGCATGGGAACTGATAACGCCAAAATACTTCTGGAACTGGTGATAAATGAGGCAGTGAGGGGAGGGAAGTAGAATAGCAGCTAAATTAAGAGGTTTGGGGTCAGAAGGCCCCCTCCTCCCCTCTAAGCTGCAAGGCAACTGTATAATTTTCACAGGTACAATGCCTTGTGCTGCAGAAACCGCTCATTGAGGAACCAATAAAGACAAACTGTGGGGTATGAAAACCAGGAAATAGAACTGGGAGGGAGACACACACACACACACACACACACACACACACACACACACACACACACACACGAAGGCAATCCCCAAGAGGATGCTGAAGGTAGATCCCAGAACGGCAGCTGAGGACGAGGTATAGAAGGCAACCAGAGTTCAGATGGAGCAGGCACCTGAAGGCACAAACTGAGTGCTGTCATCTTCAAGATCCCTGTTGTCCTTTGTCTTCTTTTGAGCTGAGGACAGAATCCCCCCACGACCCACGCTCAGATTCTTTTCCGTACTTAGCTCATGAAGTTCCTATTTTCCCTCTGTGTTCTGCTGCTTCACCCCACAGATTTCCGCGTTGACTTAGTCCTGAGACCTGGAGGTAGCTATGATGGAGTTAGAAGCAGAAAACACAGAGCAGTCCACTCTCTCTGCTCCTATTTTTGCCAGATGTCCAGTATCTAGTCCAGGTCTCAAACTAGTGTGAGTCCCACGCTTTGTGGGAATCCCTGAGGCTCTTGCCCACTGACTTCCCTAAAAGAAAAACTCTCAAGGAACGTGAAACCAGATCATGACCCATTGACTCTAATCTGTTTACTTTCTCCTAAAAGCTTTTGTGTGATAGTGGCAGCACCGCCCTTTTGCTTGCTCAGCAAGATTGGTCCTTGATACTCAGTTTTCTTATTCTCTTTTTTCTTTAACTAAGGAATCTATTGTTTAGGGATACATACATGGACAATATATCTATAAACTAAAACAAGACACGGGGCTGGGCACGGTGGCTCATGCCTGTAATCCTAGCACTCTGGGAGACCAAGGCTGGTGGATTGCTCAAGGTCAGGAGTTTGAAACTAGCCTGAGCAAGAGCGAGACCCCATCTCTACTATAAATAGAAAGAAATTAATTGGCCAACTAAAATATAGAAAAAATTAGCCGGGCATGGTGGCACATGCCTGTAGTCCCAGCTACTTGGGAGGCTGAGGCAGAAGGATTGCTTGAGCCCAGGAGATTGAGGTTGCTGTGAGCTAGGCTGACGCCACGGCACTCACTCTACCCTGAGCAACAAAGTGAAACTCTGTCTCAAAAAATAAAATTAAATTTAAAAAAAGATAAGTTAGAGAAAGGGATAAGATTTTCTGGGTCAGTAAAATGAAATGCACTGGATAGAACAAGACTGGTAAAATAAGGATGTGTGTGAAACAGAAGTTAGTATTGGGGTAAAAAGAAAAAAGTGCAAGTTGATAAAGTTCCTAGGTCATTTGCTGAGGGTATTGAGTTTCTAGATTCACATTTCATTAAACTATAAATTATTTAAATCCACCTTGACCCAATTTCTGAAATGAGATGCCTTATATTATCTAATGTAGCACTATAACCTATGGTGTTAAATAAATATAACATACTGAATTTGACCTACCATCTCTCTCATCCCTCTCCTATGCCTTTGCCTCAATGATATCCATCCACCTCTCAATTTTAGCATTGCTATTTTAAGTAGAAATGCTTTACTTTTACAAATATATAAGCAAATGTTTTCCAATAGACTACTGATAGTATAATTAAATTCAGAGATCACCAAACATGTTGAGACAATGTTTTCCTTTATATATAATGCTCTTTCTGGAAATTAGACATTTTTAGAAACTATGTTATCTATTCATTTAATCTAATAGGCCACAGGAGTATTATTTAATAAAAATCTCTAGTGAGATCATTAGCAATTTAGCAGTTACAATTCATGGGTAAGTGTTAATTCTGCACACTAAAAATTAGAATACAAATTGTGTTCATTGTGATTTGAAACTCAGGCTGAAAATATGTAAACTATAAAATGTGTAATATTTTTTAGTAGCTATGTTTGTTAGAAATGTATTAGAAGAGAATACAAATATCAGTGGGTATCTTACCTTGGATCATTTAAAAATGTGCATTTAAAAATGTGTACAACCCCTGGAAAACAGCATCTATGTTTTGGATTGTATGTATTTGGATCGTAGAACAGAACAAAGATATTGGAGAAAGAAATGTAGACTTGAATTCTCTATTTTCTCAAAGCGAAGGCTGCACATTGAAGATCCTTTCTATAACAAGAGGCAAAAGTGATCAAAATGGGTAGGTGTCTTAATGAAGAAACACTACTAATATATTTAAGATATATCGCTTGAGACTCTTAGTGAGAACTTCTCAGAACAAGATGCTCCTCTGACCATATTCAACATGACTGGGAAAATCATAGTAGTTATTTTTTCTCAGTGAGAGTTTCCGTGGAAGAGGAAAGGAAATGTCTTCAGTTCAGTTCCCTAGAAGCCTGAGAAAGAGATTCCTGTGAAAGCAGCTTATGGAGCGGGTGCTGCTCAGTGACACTAGTGAGGGAGCGAGGGAAGCAGGAAAGGGAGAGTGGAAGACACCAATATGTGTGCCCATGGGGAGCTCTGGAGTGTGAATGTCATCACAGACTTGTGTCACCTTGAGGAAGGAGGATTGGTCTTTGATACCCTCATATTGGCGTGGGTCCATTCGGGTGGTGGCTGGGGGAAGAGAGGGCTTGAGCTTCCAGGCATTGCCAGCTATGGCAGCACTGTTGGTTGCAGGCAAGTTTCAGTACAAACGCACTGCTACGAGTCCTTAGCAGCCATCTCTCCATTAGAGAACAGGTGAACTGGCCTAGTAAATGGGATATGGTATAACACAATATGGATATAATACAGAAAATATTTGTAAGACCTCACTATTTACATTAGTTGCCCATTTTGACTCAAGAACATTTTTGCTAATAGCCATTAATATATTAAAAATAAAACTGGATTCTAATCTTTAAATACCTTTTTATTTAGCATCTGGGTTCATTGATATTTAATACTTTTAAAAAGCAAAATGAAAAGGTTAAATTACCTTTCATAAAAGTTACTGAAGTCTTCAGTTTAAGTAAAGCATATAGTTATATGTTTAAGAGGAAATGTTTTAAGTAAAATAGTGAATTTGAAACCTGACTCTAGTGCTCACTAGCTGTTTGATATGTGCAAGTTACTTCTGTGTGCCTCATCTGCTGCATTTGGGGAAAAGGGGAATAAAAACAGTAACGTCTTCTTAGTTTACTGTGAGGATTAAAGAATAGATGATGGAGTTCATTTCTAGATCTGGTAATAGGTTGGGCCACACATTTGGACCAAACTTCCTACTAAAAATGCTCTATAAAACATTTTTTTAAAAAGCTTCTGTAAAGGATCAAAAAACTGACAAGACAGAATTATCAGGCCAATAACTAAGGGACCCAGAAACATGATTGAAGTAATGAAGCTGCTTTTGCCCTGAATCTGACCAAACCCTGCGGTTTACTTTTCAAGGCCTGGCGAGATGGAGAGAAGACAAACTCTCAATGTGGAGAGTCTAATGGGAAACCACCAATCCATAAAGCTGGGAGCGAACTCAAAGAAAGCCCATCCCATGACCTCACTCCAAAGGGATCAGAACATGAGTTGGGAAGCACATACCTGAACATTTGTAAGTGTAAACCAGCCCTTATGCTGATTTGCAGACCATATTCAAAGAAATGAATAGGTGATCCAAAGAAACTTCAAGCTGTACATTTAGATTAATGTCATTCTAGAATTCCTTTTTTATAGAATTCCAGCTAATAAATATAGAAGGAAATTAAGGCTGAATAATATTAAAGTCAAAAAAAAGAAAAAAAATACAAGGAATGATAAAATTAGATATAATAAATATACAGTGATGGATCTAGACTTGTGCTCTCCAATACAGTAACCACTATCCACATGTTGCTATTTAAAGCTTATTAAAATTAAGTAAAATTAAAATTTAGCTCCTCAGTCACACTACCACATTTCCAGTGCTCAACTGAGGAGTGGCTACCATATCAACAGCATAGACTTAAAACATTTCCATCACTGCAGAAAGTTCTGCTGGGCTGCCCTGGTCAAGGAAATGATCAATGATTGCTAAAACCATTAGATGAAACATGAGGATGTTAAAATGGATGAATTTGGCAACATATAAACAGATGATCAATCTTAATGAGCACACACACATACACCCATGCAAACACACATGATTTTTTAAAACACATACAGCCATAATAGGACTTGTATACATAATCTAAAACTACAAATCAACAATAAAAAGCAAGACAACCCAATTTTTAAATGGATAAAATATTATAATTTAATGTCTGGAGAGCTCCAACAAATTGGCCACTGAATTTGGGGTAGCATGACTTAAAATACAGGTGATACAGCACATGCAAAATTCTGTTTGGGAAGACACTTCAAAGAGACAAAGCTGCAGAGAGGTACATTTGTAATTGTGCTATTTGTTATTTAAGCAACTCTATAAATAACAGGGATTTGATTATCTAATCATGGTTAAACATTCTCCTGAGCATCACGAAAGAGGACAGTATGAGTGAACCCTCAAAACTTAATTGGCAGCACTTTAACAAAAGTAATACCAATAGATGCTGCTATAAGAAAGAAATGTATTTGGAAGTGGTGTCTTGCCCATTTATTTAATTTTTAATTTTAACTTTTTTGAGTAGTTAAGAGTCACATAATTAAAAATCAGGAAATATGTTCCATTAATTTTGAAGTAGTCACTTTCTGAGGAGTTTTGCATTTGATAATTAGTTTTATATACAATCAGGCCAACATTTACCTGGAATCCTTCTAAAAGTATTCAGTAAGCACTTACATTTTAACTGATGCTATGACAGTCAGTCTGGCTTTTAACTCACAAGTAGGGTTGCTAAAATTTCTGTCATTTGAAAACTACCTGCATGATTTTTGCCATATGCTCTTACTTCCTGTGATTTTATGTACTTAATATTTTTTTAAGTGACTCACTTAAAAAAATACTGAATAGTTTGGCCTCCTCCCTAACTAAGCAAATCCTTGAAATCATGGATTTAAAGTACTAAATGTTTGCCTCTATACATTAAAATGCATGTTATTTATCTCTCTCCTAAAACTGTCTCATGGACACAGATGGTGCCTTGCAGATTCCCTTTTGAAGAAAGACTTGCTGCCCAGCTGCCAGGAATGTGGTCAGCAGACAACCTCCAGCTATCACCTTCTGGGTCTGCAGATGCTGGGAAGCACCTAATCGGAAGTGACAGCCTCACAGGCAGCCTGTATCTGGGAACGAGGAGAGGCCAGGGTATATGGGCCTGGCCATTTCAGGCTGAAATATCTCTGGAGATATTTACTTTAGAGCTTCTGCCCAGGAGTGGCCTGCTTTGCACTTGACTTCTTCTCTGCCCCACAATGCTTTTGCCCCCTTCCTTTCTAAATTATTCCTAATTAACAATTTGTACCCTGATCGCCATCTCAGCGTCTGCTCCTAAAGAATCCAACCTGCATTAATACCATGCTTAGGGAAGTACTGTCATAAATCATTTTTTAGCAACTATCAAAAGAGCTTTATAAGGACTTTTAAATAAAGCCTACAATTTAAAAATAAAGGCCATGAATATGATTTTATGCTATGAAGGCAATTTGGGGCTTTTATACAAGGTGTCCCAAAACTCTTGGTGCAATTCTAAGTCATCAAGTAGAGGCTAAATGTGCTAGCTATTGGGTAGTCATAACAATAAAGGAGCTATTGAGATGATGGTTAAAAATCACACTAAAAAAATTATCTTGATTAAAAAAAATTGAATCCCAGGACAAATGCTGTTTTTGAAAAAATGGAATTAAATTATACTGTTATAATTATATTCACAAACTAAGCCTGTGTATGACAAAATTGAAAAATGTTGCAGAATTTTAGTTCCTTTTTAAAATCTCCTGCATAGAGAGAAATTGGCAGAAAAGAAACTGTTCATTCATTCAGTAAATACCTGAAACTGTTGTAATAGAATCCTGTTTAAAATCAACAGGTATAATGCTTCAATTTCATCATTTAGGAAAAACTCTGAGTGTCAGATTATTTTGAGTGTGAGTCAGAATACCCGTGAACCAGTAGAGCACTGCTGAATGCCAGTACCAAGGGACATCTTAAAGGATAAATGGTTCCACAAAATCTTATAATGCTGAAATTAAGATAAAGCTTGTTAACATTTAGGAGAAGATTTACTTAAATTTAAGTCTCCTGTGTTACCTTGCATAGCTAAGCACTGTATAAAGATAGTTGTTCCCCAAAACTTGCCCCCAGGTAAGAATTGCTGGGATGTTTGTTAAATTGATTCCCCTACCCTATCCCTAGACTAGCGATCCCAATTCATTCTGGGTTGGGACAGGGCCTGGGAATCTGTATTAACACAATCCCATGTTTCTTATATTCAGACAAGTTTGCAAAACGCCTAATGAAGATGTGTAATTGTTTAAAACATTAAGCCTGCTTTAAACAGTCATCCATTGCTGGGCTTATGGGCTGTGATATGTATTCATGGACACCTGAATACAGATTTGTATTATGTCCAGAGCACTGTGAGGAGACAACAGTTTATGCCTTCTATGACTACAGTCTGGTTAGCTTCACTTGGTTCCAGGAACAGAATATACCCCAAATCCTGGTCAGCTGACAAAGCAAGCCACGAATTGTGAAGAGAATTGAAAGCTCCTGAATTGAAAAATTAAAATCTACTGCCATTTCTAGAAAAGTGCAAGTTTAAAAATCAAACAAAAACAAGATTATTTTTTTATTAGGTAAAACCTGTAAGTATTTTTAAGCCACCACTATTTATTTATTTATTTAGGGACAGTGTCTAACTATTGCCCAGGTTAGAGTGCCGTGGCGTCAGCCTAGCTCACAGCAACCTCAAACTCCTGGGCTCAAGCAATCCTTCTGCCTCAGCCTCCCGAGTAGCTGGGACTACAGACATGCACCACCATGCCGGCTAATGTTTTTTTAATATATTTTTAGTTGGCCAATTAATTTCTTTCTATTTTTAGTAGAGACGGGGTCTCGCTCTTGCTCAGAGCTGGTTTCCAACTCCTGACCTTGAGCAATCCTCCTGCCTCGGCCTCCCAGAGTGCTAGGATTATAGGTGTGAGCCACCGCGACTGGCCCACTACTATATATTTCTTAGTGTAAAACTACTTTAAAACAGATGTCTCTTAATGATAATTAGTTTTTTTTTTTTTTGGTAAACTTATTATTAAAGTATGACATACATGCAGAAAAGTGCTTAAATCATGTGTATGAATTTTTACAAAGTGAACACACATACGTTAGCAAGACCCACATCAAGAACCAGAACATCATCAACACCCCAGATACCCCCCTTAGGCTACCTTCCTGTTATTAACATTCCTTTCCTACTATGTGTAACTGCTATCCGGACTTCAAACACCATAGATAAATTTGGTTTCTGAATTTTATATAAATAGAATCATACAGCACATATTTTTTTTGTTTGACTTCTTTATTCAACTTTGTAGATTCTATCAGAATAGTTCTCCAAAGTGGTTGTACAAATGTACACTACTCACAAAAATATATGACAGCTCTGGTTATTCCACATCCTCATCAGTGCTTGGCATTCTCTATCCTTTCCATTTTAGCCAGTTTGGTAGGTATGAAAAGGTATAATATTGTATTAATTTGCATTTCCCTGATGACTTGAAGCTGAGCACCTTTTTTATATAACTGGCCATTTTGTGGGATGCCTGTTAATTCTTTTATCGATTTATCTACTAGGATCTGTTTTTTTTTTTAATTTTAGGAATTTTTTTTTTATTCTGGATACAAGTCCTTTGTAAAATATTTATTATTGTTTATATTCTTGTTCTTCCCTTTTTAAAAGACCTCTGTATAATTTTGATAACAATGGTTCCTATCTATTTCTAAACTCATCCTCCTAAACTCTGGCTCAAACTCTAACAATTTCTTAATCACATTTTCCTTCTTTAAATGAGTGAACCATCATACTACACATACTGCCCAACTTGACTAGCCAGTAATTTCTCCCTACTTATCCTCTGGTTACTTTATCTCACATTCATCCCACCCAACTTATGGGTTCTGAGTGAAAAGTACACATATTAGGAAAAGATACACAGTATGATTGAGTGTAAACAAAGATACTGGAAATCAGGAGGTCAGAATTTTGCTACTAAGTAGCTGTGTGACACTGAGCAAATCAAACAGCTAACCTTTCTGGACTTCAATCTCCTCTTCTGTATGAGAGGGCTGGAATAAATGATCAAAATTTAAGAAGCTGCTTTACTTGCAGGAGTTTGTTTACTTATAAAAAGATGTTTAAGAAACATCTTTTCTCCTAAGAGAGTCCCTGATCCTTTCACGTGGTGTTTCCTTAAATTTGCAGAATGGCTTTTTGGTTACTGATTGAATAACTTTTTTTCCCCTGGGTTTGTAAGAAGCCTGAAGTTGTTGCTAATAGTGACCCACTTTTATCTCCTCAGCCACGACTACCATTTTAGCACATACCAACCCAGCCTCCCAATTGCCAACACCTAAATATTTTGGCAGAGGGTTTCCTGTGGCCACCTGTGCCTGATCTATCTGTATGCATGTGCTGGGCATTAACTCTCGTCTGGAAGATTGACAGTAGCTGGCTGTCAATCAATGACTGATGGCAGTACCCTAGTTTTCTGCACCCTAGCTGGGATAACTGAGATGTGTGTTCTACACTTGCTCTCAGAACTCTCCAGCAGGACTGTGCTCCATAGGCAGGGGTCCTCAAACGTTTTAAGCATGGGGCCAGTTCACTGTCCCTCAGACCGTTGGAGGGCTGTTGGAGAGTGCGGCCCACATTCCACACATGCGCACTGTGGGCCCAGGATGAGTTGGCTGCCAAGCAGGACAGGCAGTGGCGGCAAAAACACCCGGAGGGCCGGATAAATGTCCTTTGCGGGCAGCAGTTTGAGGACGCCAGGTCCAAAGTGTTAATTTGCTTGATAATGAACACCTTTATTGGCTTCCTTCCATTCTGTCTCAATTCTCTACTTCTTTGCTGGTGTCTCCTGGTGTCATCTCCCAAATAAACTAATTAAACTCAAATACTTGTCTCAGAGTCAACTTCTGGGGGGGAATTCAAACTAACCTCTTAGAACAACATCAGTAGCATTTTATCACAACCCACTTGAGAAAGTTGGCTCACTCAATATTATAAAGAGTTGTTTAATCCACACTGCTTTTTCACTCCTTTGGAAATTGTTAAAAATACAACATTCAAGGAAATAAAATATGTCCTTGATAACATATTGGATTGCTACAATGCATATTGCTACACCTTAAGTCAGTCGGCTTGCAAAATCATAAATCAAAAAACAAGGCTTTAGTTTACTTGTCAAAAATTGAAATGAGTATCACTGATCTCCTTTAATTCAGAAGTGAATTTTTAGAAACATTTACTTTCTCAATTTCAAGTAATATTCAGAATTAAATGAGATTCTCTGTAGTGTATTTCCAAATCATTGTGTGATGTTTATAGGACTTTTTACAGGCTATAGTGAGGGCTGCAATTCAATTTCAAAATCTTAAGTAACAATCTATAAAGAAAGGGGGAAAAAATTTAAAAAGTCATGTTGAAACAGTATGTCAAAATATAAGGTACATTTTTTTTTAGCAGATCTTGCCACACAAAAAAAAGAAAAAAAATGTTAATTTAAATCCACATTTTATTCTTTCACAGATTTTTAACAATTATACACAACTTTTAACATAAAGATAGTGAAATCTCAAGAATAAGGAGGCAATATATATGGCCTCTTCAATTCACTCTTCAGGATGGAAGGAAAGTTCCAAAGGGTACAAGTGTGAGATTTAACACTGGAAATATACATATGAAACTTGTTTAACTGGCTCCACTTAGGACCAGGCACAGCACAATAAATATAGAACTGCATCATCTTTTTAAAAGATCGTTGTAATTTTAACACATTCTTCCTAAAGAAATATGATCAGTGACCAATCTGAAATTCTACAACATATACGTGAAGGGAAACTTACAATGAGTATCTGAGCATAGTATCTCTAGCATCTTCACACTCATACATCAACATTCTCAAAATGAGTAAGAATGACTCAAATTCAAAACACCAAAAACAAATTTGGTCAAACTTTCTTCATCATATCATTCATTACTATCACAATCTGAGTTTGCTGTTAGGTTTAAGGTAAGAATAGAAAGCTTTTGAAATCGTTTAATTTCCACTAGTCTTAGGGCCACTGAGTAGGAGGCCACATTGGAAGCAAACTGATTAAGCAGCACCATTAAGTCCACATCTCAACAAATCACTGCATAATTTTTATCTGTCAATATTCTGAAAGGCTAAAAAAACTAGTATGGAAGAATACCTTTCCTTGGTAACAGGTCACTGTAAAAACATGCAATCTGCAAGAATTTAAACAAAACTATACCTGAATTCTCTACTGATTGTATCTTTCCTTAACAGACCAAAAGAAATGCACTACTTCAAAATTTAAATAACAACATGCCAGGGCATAAAATAAACATTTTATTTATGCTATGATATTTGGGTATTTGAGATTGTT